AGTGGGTCGATTGAATGCATGACGCCCCCCGACGGCAGAACGCCGGAGTGACGTGTATGAAACGGGACCTCGCCTTCGCCGGCGAAGGCGGTGTGTGTTTCTGATGTCTGGTGTGTTGTTGGGATTATTGTTCGTATTGTCTGTCGTGATCTGGTCGTCAGGGTCTAAGAGGACGTCTTTGGGACGCCTCTTACCTAATTTGGAGTTGGGTGACGGGAAATAATTAGACGCTTGGATTACTAGCGGGTTCGGATGAATTGACGCGGTGTCGAAGAATCTCTTTGAGATCATCTTGAAGTGCACAGCTATCGTAGGAAGTTGGAGGTCCCTATGAAGATCTGAGTTCCTGAGGTACCAGGGTGCGCCTGTGTGTCCGGCCGCCTAGCACGTCGCTTTATATAGGTCGTTCGCCACCTCGCCTGACTTGTTGAGCGATAAGAGATTGTAAACGCCTGTACGCGCCTGTACGTGCTTGTTGAAACCTGTTCCTTTTGCTCTCGCGCCGACATATTTATAGCAATATTGAAAATGTCGATAGAATATTTATCGATATAACTAATTTTTACACTTTCAAATCTCTATTCGAACAAATAACAGAATAGTAATAATAGCGCCGGCGGCCCGTCGCCTGCGGTCAATGGTCACGCATGCGCCGTAGCGACTATACGGTGTCTTGACCTTGTATGAGTCAGATGTTTGAAACATTCTTTCGAAAAATGTCGATTTAAAACTTACTTAGCCTATGCACTGTAACTAACTTCTGCTTGATTTTTTTTTAAGTTATACTATTTTTTATAATAAGCTTATACTTATATGTATACGTGCCTTCAAGCGTTGACACAGTTTTTCATACAGCCTGTATAGAAGATAGAAGATTATCTTATTCACCGTTTCATTCAGCTGGTGGGAGTGCGAAAGCGATCCCCCGCCCCGACACAAGGGCCGTCGTGGAACACCCTTGGGTTTTTAGTGGGTAGTGGCAACGAGTCCCACATACCCCGCTGATTTCTAAAACGGCGGGGATGCGTTAGTGCATTTTCCCAAGGAAAAAAAAAACTGTTTCATTCAAGAGAACAGTTACATTTTTATATTACAAGTTTACTTTAAAATTATCCTATTTTATGAATACTTTTTCAAATACAATTATAAAAATATTTGTTTTTATACTATTTTATACACATGGCCTCTGATTGGTAATCATTCGAGATAGCTTTTACTATATACATACATGCAGCTGTAAGTTTTGTATCAAAATAATATTATGTGAAAATATGGTTTAATAAAAATATATGTTTAGGTTCTTGTTTAAAGCTAGTGTTATTGAGCTCACTTCAGCATATTAAAGAAATTAATATCCCAAGTATTGAGCTTTATACGACACTTGATAGGTTTAAGAAATATTTGTTGAGTCAGTTTCATTATGAAAATAACGAAATATCTTAACACAGATAACTGTACACGTATTAAGATGATTTAGTTAAATGTGACTCTATTGAAAATATTTATAAATAGTAAGTGTTTCATTCACGAAACTTCTTCATATGTAAAAACTGTTATGTTAATCTGAACTATTATTGTATCTGTATTGTAACTATTTTTTACATCTCAGACTTACACAAGAGTCGTTAAAGACCAAGAGTCTCTGTTTATCTGTTTTATGACAGTACTCACTGAAATCTGCTTCAGTAAAAAAGAAACAAATATTGTTCACGATAGCAACTACGAGGATGAAAGGCAATATGTATTTATGTATCCTGCTCATATAAGTGAAAGTTTTCATCTCTCGTGAAAATTACAATGTAATTTCATCCAATAACACCTTTTAGTAAGTCAATTGTTACTACGTCTTTCTCCATTTGGCGAAATTAAAACATATTGAATAACGTATTGTTTTGACTAAAGAGTTCTTTTTATGCGTATACGATGAAACATTACTGTCTTTTTTTATAACTGTAACTTATTTATAAATCTCTGAACATTTAACTTTACACACAAACCTCCATACTAACAGATGAACAGACGGTGAGACACGTGTTACTTCTATTGCCTATAATATAAGTATGTGATGTCAGAAAAGTCCTAACAATTATAACTATAAAGGTTCAAACAAGATCAGAAATATTTGATTTGAAAAAAACACTTTTAACACTCTGAGAACAATCATTATGAACCAATATAAAAATAATATTACCTTTTTTTTAAACATGCATGTAAAGAATATTCGTATTGAAATAAATAATTCATAAAATCATTTATCTCAAAAAAATAAATAACTGAACCAAAAAATCCGACTTTAATATTAAAGTTAGAAATCAAAACTTTATGATATTCCTTCAAGTGGCGATTAATGCTGAAATAAAAATAGTAAGGCTCTGTTGTTTTAATTTGAAAATAATTAATCAATTTAAAAGATACAGTCCCGTTCTTTTTTGAACCAAAACAAAATAAACCAAAATCAATTTATACCATTTAATACACATAGCAGCTTTCCAGTTAATACTCTTAATATTATTGGATTTTCAAAGTGATTACGAATGGTTGTGTGTATACAGTCGTTTATATAAAACACTTTGATGGAGTGATCATTAGAGACTACATGTTAATGATAGTTACACTCTTATTATATAACGTCTAGTGATGCTCGTACCGCTCCATACAATAAGTAGTGTCTGTTTATCATGACTGGCAGCACATGCCTCTATAGATTAACCTCATCTCACACAGTAGCAGCGGGTGAATCATATATGTATATGTTATTTGTTTTATCCTACAACCTGAATCAAATAATTTGAGTTCAACAGGATATAGACGCTGAGAACTACCACCAACTGTGATGGTCCTTGTACTGACAAATCGTCTTGATATTTATGATTTACTGATCAATATATCTCTTGGAAAGGTAGACTACAGCTTGCTAAGGTAGACTAATTAAAATTGTTATACAGTGTTTATTATTCTATTTTTTAATTAAATAACCATAATTATTAGTATTTTCTAACCTAACCAGATAAATCTAGTTTTTTTTTTTACAGATGTAATTGTGTTACTCTGTTTCTTAGTACATATATTAGTATGTGTTTGTCAGCGCAACAATATTTAAAACGCTTATAAGGGGTAGTTGTTTCATAAGTATTTTACTTTAGAGGGTATATGTGACATAAACAAATCACTAACGTCATTGTGTCAGTGATTTGTTTATCAAAATTATTTATTCTAGAAATCGTTGTGTGATTTGTATTAAAGAACAGTAAAAGTTAATTCGTCCCGTGATTTTTAATATGTGACGATTAATCATTCTGTAGCTTTAAGTAAAAATGGTACTTAATAAGTAACTACTTCGTATTCAATGTTAATCAATTATGTTTTCTATAAATTATTAAGTGGCAATATTAAGATTGAATGTTTTAATAATTAATAACTTAAACTAATGTAATGTTTTGTGTTCATTTGAATAACTAATATCCTCGAGAACAGACCACGACCTCCCCACAACAGACGGCGCCCTCCGTCCAATTGAGAGGATAGTATGTAGTACGGGTATGTAGTCTGTCTAGTTGATCTCGACATGTGTAAAACGTTTCATATACCTAAAAACCATATTAAAACATTTACATAGTAATCTTACGATAAAATACCTCGAAAATCATATCTCAATTTGTGCTAATACTTGAAATGTTTAATACCAATAACATAATTGCTTCGTGATCGGAGAAGCACAACTCAGTCTTAATAGTGGTTCTTGAAGGATACACACTGCCCGGCGAAGGCCACACCTCATTGGTTTTCAAACTGAGCTCTACGACCATCTGTGAAATGTTAAATCTGTAAAATATTATATGATTAAAGAAATGATATGTCACTAGAGAGAAAAGTTCAACATTACATATTCCTACTTCAATACAACTTCTCAGTTGTATTTTCACTGTTATACTCTCTGTCTTTGTTCTGTCACTCTCGATACAGTGAGCTTTACAGATATGTCTGGTGAGTCCCAACATCCAAGGCGCTGCTGTGTTAGCCGTATCTCTAACGGCCCTTCTCCAATGTTCTGAAGTTTCACCGTTTTGCGAACTCTAATTGGAAATTAAAAACATCATTCAGTCTTATTGTTGTATATACTATATATAGGAGTACTCGTATGTTATACGATTATTATTTCCAAGCTAGATTTATGTTATATTTGATATTTTATGCTCGCCTCATAACATCACCGGCGGTCAGTTCCAGGACACACAGTGTCACTCGTATCTCGGACTGAGTGTTTCTGAGGTCGGAGTGTCGTTCAGCTTCACGCAGCGCCACGTACTGGACGGGTGGCGGAGGGCGGTACCACGCGACACTACATACAAATGAAACAAGACACAACATCAAGGTTGTATCTGTAATTGTTTATTATAGAGTGCATTTAACTCGTAAGTTAACTTTTAGTAAAAAAGCGTTCTATGTACATGATAACATCTCTACAAATCATTCTTTGGTTGTATCTACACAGTAGTGCTGCGCATTATACGTACTAAGATTAGTCTATGATAGTATTGCTCGCGGGAAAATTATATCAACAATATTCTCACCCGCACTCGTTGACTGGTAAACTTCGAAGCATTAAAGTTTAATTAGGCGCCACTTCATGACGTGGAATCGACCGTATTGTTAATGAGGCACTCTCTCCCTCTTTTATCGACAACTGCAGCGGCTCAACCTGCGTGAACATTATTTTCAAACATATTTTTTTTCCTGTGATAATGTTTTATACAGTCATCACTAAAGTCAATGAAAACATGTAAACCTGATAAAACGATTCATCTTGTATTCCAAAGTCGGCTGCCAGATATAACTCCACACCTGTGTCCATCTCTTCCTCGTACACACTTTGTTCTGAAACCTTGCTATTATTAAACAGAACTATAAGTCGGTGTTTATTAAACTACTTACATAAATATTCATAAAAATCAAACGTCAAGCCTTACTCCATCCTTAAAGCGGCGTCGGATTGGACTATAATGATGGACACGTATGAAAAACAATATAAAATCCCCGAGGACATTTGTGCGTCGGCCTCCAGACCGGATATATTTTTGTTTTCGCGAATTTTAAAGCGCGTAGTGATGATAGAGCTTACGGTCCCGTGGGAAACCAACATCCCCAAAGACCATACCATCAAGGTCAACAAATATTACGAGCTCACAAACGAACTCACTCGAAATAGGTTCGTAGTAGATTTGTACGCGGTGGAGGTGGGAGCGAGAGGTATAACAGCGAAATCTCTCTATAACCTACTAAAGGACTTGGGCTTGTCCAGAACTCACATTAATGCATTCTTGGAACGTACATCGAAGGCAGCCCTAGTAGGTTCTTTTCAAATTTGGTTAGGTAGGGAGAGGAGCTTGGACAGTGGAGGTGAGAGTATAACGCGCGTTAGTTAAGGGGCCCCTTAAACCTACACTTGGGTCGCAAGTCCCAGGCACTGTTGAAGCTCCTCTCCCTGCAACGCGATGGACCCGGCACCCGCACGGTGAATCCATGGATTGCTGAGAAGTTTCGTCTCACAACTGAGGGACAAGGACAGACACGAGGTAATACATCAAAGAGACACGGGTACAGACGGAATGGCAACTCTTGTTGCTTAAACTCTGAAATTTTCATTATGATATGAATGTTTTAATATTAATGATTGTGTTATTATTAGTTCATAAAAAATATTGTGCGGTTTCATAAATGTCAATGAATTCACTAAAAGTTGGAATACAACTTATTTCTTTAAGATAATTGTAAGTATTGTGCGTTGGCTCTGTTCTATCAAAGTATAATTATAATTCCCGTAAATTTCAGACAGGTATATTTACATAAACATTCAAAAAAATGTAAGAAAAATAACATAACAGAATTATATTTAGGATTCTATAAATTAACAGAAATGTTGATATTTTTATCAACATAAATTTATCTTATGTTACAAATTTACCATTAAATATTTAATAAAATAATAACCTATACCATCAAAAATTTATCATAATATGTTCTTGCGTGAAAACCAGATATTCGTAACAGTTTCAGACACACCTTTCCAATCCACTTCAAAACTGAGTTTTGGCTACATTTTGAAGAAAAGTTAAGAAGAAAAACATGTCAGCATTCCATGGAATCATCATGCGGGTGCCGAGACCTTCGCGTTGTAGTGAGAGGAGCTTCAACAGTGCCTGGGACTTGCGACCCAGGTGTAGGTTTAAGGGGCCCCTATCTAACACGCGTTAAACGGTCACCTTTACTGGCCCATTTTCCGTTTCCGTAGAAACGTATTGACCGCCTAACTATAATCGCGGCTCGTATGAGGTATACTTTGTATTCCGCCTACCGAGACACATACAATTAAATTTATTTGATTTTGTCCTCAGTCCATCCGTCAGCTCACAGTATTTATCCATTGATATCCATTCATGCATTCCGTAGTACTTGACAATGTTTGTTGTTTCGTGTCCGAATTGCAAGATCGTCAGCGAAGGCTGAAATGGATCCCGTGTATTGATTATTAAACTTGAACCGATATCCTCATTTCTACTCGTTACTTATTAGTTTATGTACTAAGATATTAAATACAATATTAAATATGCTTTTAGACAACAGCCTTTAAAATAGTTCTACATTGTAATTTAGTTGCTAGTGCGTTAACGTAAAAATATAATTTCTATAACAAGTTTTATCATTTTCTTTAACAACATATGGATACACATTACACAGTCAAGTCGGCGCGTGAGGTATTCGTTATGTTTACGAGCCGCTCGGGATCCGAGTGAGAGATCCTGGAATTAATTAAAATACCGAGTTTTATTATACAAGGGTTTAACACCATACTCACGGTCTTATAAAAGGACGAAAAAACGACACTGATGAAATATATTTTAATAACACCCTAAAGATACCGTTTTTTATAAAATTACCGTTGTTACCAAAATACAAAAGAAGAAATTTTTTAATCTAATCGTATATATCTTTTCCTTGTGAAAAATATTAAAGGAAAGATATCTCGTAATTAATATCTTTTTTTCAACTAATTTAAATAACGTTTCGATTGTTACATTTTGTATATTTGTAGTTGTTCATATATTTATTATCATTTACAGGATATCATAACCTTACCACAGCACCGGCCATTGAGAGTCTCGTGTCCGCAAAGCGAAACTCAGCGGCGAGCCGACCGCCTCCACCCACACGTCTATGACCAGCTGCTCGTACTCCTCGACCTGTGAATGAAAGAAATGTTGATTGGAAAATACGAATAAGGTCGCTGGAACCGTATAGGGGACCTCGCACAGTACTACAAACAAGTAGGTTTGACCTGTACTAAGACGCCGTGCATACTGTCTATAATAATAAAACATGAAACATTCTCTCGACCCCACAGTGTATATAGCCAGTTTGTCTGGAGTCCTCTAAGTGAGTTTACTACGCTAGTCAGTTATGGTCATACAGTAGCTACATTGTCATATCTCTCAGATCCCTCCCTTTAATAAAAGTACTTTAAGACAAATCAACTTTCAAATGTGTTAAAAACTATTAATCGATCTTATTTGTCCTACATTTTCTTTTAAATTCAATTAATTATTATCAATTGTTTCCTTTCTAAACAAGTCATTTGTGATAATTTTATTAATGATTTATACTGAGGCGGTGCTCGTATTTTCATATTATAAAAAAGGTAATTACAATGTCGATGAGTCAAATTAAAAATGTATTATTTCAGTTTTTTACGTCAGTGAAGAATAATGTTAGATGGAACACTTGGTGTTGTACTGCGTGTGTCTCGTGTATCTGGTGTATTACCTTTATCTATTAGGCCTCGGCCTCGAATTTTGCGGGCAGCGGAGCGGCGGCGGCGACGGCACGGAAACGCATACTGTTCTCCATACTAGCGGGCAGCGGGCACCGCTGTATTCGAGGGTCGGTCCATTTGATTATACGCGTAAGATCCTGCCGCTCCCGCTGCCGCTCCGCTGCCCGCAAAATTCGAGGCCGAGGCCTTAAGGGAACGAAATTAGGCGTGTCACTACCGCTGGCAGTATGAGCGAAAATATTTGCTGTAGCTATGGGTAACATTAATATTTCAAGTTTTGTCGCTTCTTCTTTCCATATCTGTGAGTGTTTGCTGTTATTTTATAACGTTTGAGCTGCTTGCATAATACAAATTATATCTTGTTTATTAGAATAAGGCACATTAATTAATGTTAATAGTAATTTAATAACATACAAAAATATTAAAGTGCTAACGTTGCCCTATTCTGAAGCTGAAATTAAAATAAAAGTAAACTCTTTCCACCTTTCCAGAAATATACGTATATAAAAACCACTATGTAAATAAAATATATTCGTCTCGGACGTGCCTTAATGAAAAATGTAAAAACATTATTACGAAAGACAGGCTTTAACATTTTCTAATTTTTCATATTTCAGTTATAATAATACATTGTCTTGTTACTGTAGATACTTTTCTCTTTCATGAATTTAAACGACCTACCTTAATCTTTGATCTTCTTTGAATTTTTGCGAACATAATAACTGTCATCGCTTTATTAATTGTTGTGTTCACTTCACCTCAGAGAACAACACGGTACATACGGATCCTCCAGAAACTTGATGAGGTTAATATTTTATACATATGTAATCTAGAATAGCTAACTTATTAAGAAGTATATAAGATTTTTTTTTCTTAACTGTTAATACAATAAAATCCGCTTTTAAACTTTTTTACATATTATTTTGAACTTGAATTTATATCTTTGATAATAATTTAATGACTTCATTTCTTTGCAGATGGATAAAGAAGTATTAAAAAATAACAGTGAGAGAAAACTAACGACATTTGTTTTGTCATTCCTTCTTATAACTTTAGTATTACGAGGATACAACTTTATTTATTACATCTAAAACGAGAAATCATCACAATGTACGTATATATATACATATATTAACTGGTCATATATACAAACTCATATTATTTATTCACATCTTGTTTATAGTTATCAAATATTAACTGTATCATTTCTTTTAAAAGATATATTATTTTAAGACATGAATCTTATCATGGTAATGGCTATACATTTTCGAACAATGTTAAGTACAAATATTTAATGTTTTTTTTTCATTTAGTGAGACTGGCAAGTTTTGAATATATAAAATAAATGTAGCAGAAGTACAAGACGTATCTTTACTCGCTCAAAGAACAAAGCTAAGTTTAATTGTGGTCAACAATACTCTTGATCATTTATGTAGAATGAAATCAGGTAACGGTAAGTTTGAAAGCAATAATTCCATCAACAATTACTTCAGCTCAGAATAATTACTGAGAAAAATTAATTCCTTTTTCGATTTACTTATGAGTAACTCCTAACTGGTACTAAAAAATATTAAAATAAATTATGATAATAATATGATTGTGTGTAGTGATTTACTCTCAGTATGAAATTAATAATTAATAGTCACCTAGTAGATATTTTCTAGTTTGTGCCTGTTATATTTAAAATTAATTTCAAAGAAAGGAATAATAAAATAGGGTCGAAGAAAAGACTTATATAGTGAAAGGAAACATATACATATGTAACGGAACAGAAGACTGTACTCGATATATAAATATGCGATGTAAAAAAATGTACAGCATTTTCAAGTGTAATCTTATTTAATGAAGATAAGTAACTTGAATTTTTGTGTTTTCAGATTACGAGCGGTCACGTCTACGACAGAAGATCATTGTAACAACCAAAAGAGTGGACATAAGACAGTCAACTACTGGAATATTAAAAGAAGATAATTTTGGTGATACTCACTGTGGTATCTATCTATATATTATTATATGTACTATCCATACATATATTATACGAACTAGTTATTATAGAATAATTTTCAAATAACGACTAGGCATTTATTGACATTTATATTTTTAAATACCATTAGTTATAGAATGTTCCAGGTGCCTTTTATTTTACATATGTGGTTCGCCTGTGAGACTATTCCAAAACTTTAATTTTACTTTTAACATAGTTTACATATTAAAAAAAGATTTCTATTTAACTTCTTGGTTTGACACGTTGTTTCGTCAATACTTTAAAAATTCACTTCTCCTGTTCTATTCAACAAGTTAAAGGGGCAACTAATACAAGTTATAGTAACAACTTTAGTTTTTTAGGCAAACATATACAAGTATTAGATAAAAATCCAGTCAAATTAATTCGTTAATGTATAGAAATCTGTACTGTACTGTACTGTCGAAATCTTATAAAATTATTACTCATTATTTAACTTCAAGTAAGGAGAGCGATTATAATTCTGTTATTTTTTTTTATTGATTAATAATAATATACATTTTTTAAGTTTACGAGGAAGCGAATATGTACATAGCACTTTGTTCGGCATTGCTACATGCTATCACGATAAC